CAGCCAATAGGAGATCTGTTTGGAGGAAGAGGGACCAGTTCCCATGTGTGATTGCGTAGAAGAGCAGAGTGTTCTTCTTGCATAGCTTTAAACCAATGAGGCTGAGCAATAGCTGCAGCTGTAGATGTAGGTTCTAGACTTGCCAAGTAGGCTTTTGGTTTAAAGATGCCTGTTTTAGCCCTGGTAGTCATGGGATGAGCAGATGCTTGAGGAGGATGTGTATCAGTAGAGGACCTGCAAGTAGAATTAGTAGTCCTAACAAAAAAATCATGCAATGGAACACTCAAGTTTGTACTGTTGGAGTGATGGTTGGGCGAGTGAATAGGTGGAGGACCCAATATAGAGTTGGTGGAAGGAGATATAGTAGGATTCGAGTTCAGAGGCAGTGAGGAATTAGTGTGAGTAGTGTGTGAATTGACTGGAATTAAAGGACCTACTGGAATTATGGGACTTATTGGAATTATGGGACTTGAAGTCTGACTAGTAGGTGTTGGGATAGAGATGGGATTAGGTGACTTAAGAAGATAGGGAAAACTAGTTTCATCAAACAAGACATGTCTAGCAATGAAAGTTTGACCAGCTGGACTTAGACATTTATAGCCTTTATGGTGAGTGTTGTACCCAATAAAGGTACACTTGGCTGATCGAAAATCAATCTTATGTTTGTTATAGGGTCTTAAGTAAGGGTAGCAACTGCAACCAAATGTCTTTAGAAAGGAATAGTCAGGGGTAATGTGGAAAAGAGTCTCAAAAGGTGATTGTTGATTCAAAGTGGGTGTAGGTAATTGGTTTATAACATAGGTGGCAGTGAGGAAAGCATCCTCCCAGAATTTTTGGGGTAGGTGAGATTGTGCTAGTAGGGCCAATCCAGTTTCCACTATGTGTCTATCTTTCCTCTCTGGTTTCCATTTTGCTGATGTGTATATGGACAGGTTAGTCGTTGGATAATACCTTGTTGTTTTAGATATTGAGTGAGTTTAAGGTACTCCTTTGCATTGTCTGTTTGCAAGGCTTTTATTTTGCTGTCAAATTGGAGTTCAACCATAGTTTTGAACTGAACAAAGATTTCATAGGTTTGTGATTTATTTATTAAGGGATAGATCCAAGTGTAGTTTGAGAAAGCATCAACAAATATTATGTAGTATTTTGCACCTGATGTGCTCTCTATAGGTGCTGGACCCCATATGTCTGAAAGGATTAGTTCAAGAGGTTGAGAATAGACAGTGGTAGTAGTAGGTAAATGGAGTTGATGCATTTTTGCCATACAACAAGCACAACAAAGCTTTGAGTCAGTTTTATTTATATATGGTATTTTACAATGTCTAAGTACCAACTTTACAGTATCAAGAAAGGCATGAGCCAGCTTAGAATGCCAAAGACTTAAGGTTGAAATACTAGAGGTATGGTTACATGTAGGATATTTGTGCTGAATTGAAGAAATAGAGCTATTCAGATGTGAATTTTCTGCAGAGGAAATATGCTTGGACTTTGAAGTTCCATCAAAAACATATAAGCCATTCTTAAGTCTGCCTTGGAGAAGAGTCTCCTTGGTAGCCTGAGATTTCACATAACACGCATCAGCATGAAATTCAAAAATGACATTGTGTTCTCTTGCAAATTGAGATACACTCAATAGATTTTTAGATAAGCCAGGTACATGTAACAAATTGGATAGTTGAAAGACTGAAGAATTAACAGATGAATGCAAAAATGAGTGTCCTATGCTTTTGATTTTTAGATTAGAGCCATTACCAACTTGAACAGCATCCTGACCACTGTATGATATTTTGTTGTGCAGGTTATGAGGATCTGGTGTGAAGTGGTTAGTGGCTCCAGAATTTGGATACCAGCTGCTGTCAGTTACTGAAAAGAAATCAGAGGCACTTTCATCTTGTTGCCTTCCACCATTCTGATTTGTGACAGCTATATTTGCCTGCAAACTCGAGTTGTTGTTCTGGCTATACTGACTTTGGTTGTTTGAACCTGTGAAGTGCTGATTGAACCTGTGAAAGCAATCCAAAGCCAAATGACCATATCTGCCACAGACTTGACATTGAGGTCTGTTATTATGATTGAATCGACCTCCTCTCCCTCTGTAGAATTGATTTGGTCCTCTATTTCCATAGAACCTTCCTCTATTCTAAGTATAACCTCCTCTGCTGAAGTTTGAAGAATTACTGGATCTTCTCATTTGAAGATGAGCCATGTTGGCTTGAAGAGTATTTGTTACATTTTTTCTATGCCTCTCTAATCTTTGTTCTTGAGCCATCAAGAGAGCTTCAATTTCTCCAACCGTGTAAGGATCTGTCCTTGAAATAACAGAAGTGACAAACGAATCATAATCTTCATTCAAGCCATCAAGTATAGCTTCTATGTGATCTTCAGAATCAACTGATGAACCACAAGCTGCTAAGGAATCTACCACTTTCTTGATCTTGAGTAGGTATGTTGATACATCTCCATCTTTCTTGGAATTCTTCAACTGTACTTTCAGTTGCTTGATTTTTGCTCTTGTTTGAGAGACAAAAAATTCATCTAGTTTCTGCCAGATTTGGAATGAGGTTGAACAGCCTACCATACGAGTGTACAAAGTTTCTGACATTGAGGAGAGTAGCCATGACATCAGTAGCTGATCTTGGTGATCATTTGCAGCTTTTTGTGTACTGGAAGTTTGTGTGCCTCCATTGGTTGTTGCAGTATTGCCTTCAACACTTTCACCAGTAGTGTTATTTGCAGCAGGTGTGGGATCTTGCACTTCTTGCGTGATGAACTTGTCAAGATCATAGCCTTTGATAGTGGCTAAAGCTTGTTGCTTCCAAGGTAGAAAGTTGTTTTCATCCAGCTTAACAGACACTGGATTAGAGAACGTGTGAATGGTGGTGGTTTGCACAGCCATGGATCGAGTATGCTCTGATACCATGAAAGGTATCAGAGAGAGAGAGAAAGAAAGAGAAAGAAACTGTAATTGCAAAAGTGAATTATGAAAAGCTTGATTGATCAGTTACACTTGAGATCTATTTATACTTAGATCTGTTAATAATAGCTAACTCACTATTTATAACTAACTAACAATTGGGTTAACAGAATTCTGTTGAATTCTGTTTTGGATACATATGGGCCATTGGGCCATTGGGCCTTAGTATATCTGTCAAAGGTATAATTTAAAATGTCATTTTACCGAACTAACTCACTCATTTTCCATTTTTATATTTTTTTAGCAAATAAAGCTTTAATAGAGAGATTGCTATTGTGTATATATAGTTTGGATGAGAGGGAAAAAATGAAAATAAAAAAATAAAAGAAGAACAAAAATTTCAAAATTTGAAATTTGAAATTTAAAAAACTTGAGAAGAAATATTTTGAATTTTTGGTCTGAACATTCCTTTCTTCTCTACTTATATCTCTCTTTTTGTTTTAAAAAAATAAAAAGAAATTTTCAAAGTTTTAACAATTCGCTCTTTTTTTTTCTTTCTTTTAATCCAAACAATAGGATTAGTGTAAAAATAGAAGTTGGACTAGTTGAAGAAGACTGTTGACACAGTCTGGAATGTTTTATCACAACTAAAAAAATTAAAATGCCAAGCTTTTAAAAAAACATTTTGGTGTACTCAAAATCTCACGATGGAACCTGATCAAACCAAATCTTTATAACTTGGTCGATCATGTGATCTTCCTCTACACAAAGACTTGGAACCTCTTTGGGTCAGAGCATCTTGCAGTTTAGAGTTTGGAGCAGCTTTAACCCATGGGTCTTCTATGGAACGTGATGGGGTGTACCTGCAAGACACTCCGACGCTCAAGTCAGTTATTGTCCAAGCAGGTTTTATTATGTAGAAGAAGATATATACCTTAGTGTTAATAGGTATGTATTTATAGTGGAAGGATGAGCAGTTGAGGAGATGTTACTTAGTGATCAAGTTTGCTTTGTCTTGGAGGCAAAGTAATAGAGCTGCCATGTTTAATGTTGAGGAGTTTTGATGAGATAAGGCTATTAATATTATGCAGTTTGATGGCTGTCATGGAGCTTGCTGTCTGTCATGGTGCTTTTAATATTATGGAGCTTACAGTCTTTTTGGACTAAGGCTTTGCTTCATTGTGAAAACTTTAATTCTGGATCTTGTATTTGTATAATATTTATCCAGATAGAACTTTTAAATGAGATTAATCTAAAAAATTACATTTATTGTACTTAAATGTTATACACTTAACATGTATGAAAACTTTACATATGGTTTTCACATTTGATTGAGATACGAGGTTATAATTACGAGAGAAAGAGACAAACTTTATTATGAAACAACTTAAAATTACTTTTACCCACCAGTTTAATATACGAGGAGGGATACTTTCATTATCAAAAAATTTCACTACCATTTACACAAAAAAATAAAAAAATAAAAATTCACTACCAATTTATTATCTATTTAACCATTGTATGCTTAGTTCAATATGACTAAATGTTTTGTACTCCTGTATTAAATAGGACTCATGAAATCTATAATAAAAAATCAAGGTACTAAAGGCAAAAATAAATAAATAAAAATAAAAATAAAAGCCTTCTACAAATTTAAATTTGCTGTCACTTTCTTAGAGAAGTGAAAAATCAAGGTAATGATTGTGTCAATTTTATTGGTTATTGTAGTTGAAAATTTAAACTGAACGAATAATAAATTAATGTAATATAATAATAATATATAGAGTGTAATAATAAAATGAATATATATATATATATATATATATTAAATAGAATGATATTAGTATTAATGTAATTAAATAGTTACATACAACTAATACTCTATAAAAAGAAAAAGAATATTCTATAGAATGATATTAGTATTAATGTAATTAAATAGTTACATACAACTAATACTCTATAAAAAGAAAAAGAATATTCTATTATATGAAAATATAAATAATATTCTATTATAGAATATTTTATAGAATATATACAAAATATTCTACAAGCAACCGTTTATCTATCTATAAATACTTCTACAGGCGATCTGGTTTCTCCTCCCTCTTAACCTTTGCATCGTTCAATTACCATTGTAACGTATTGCTCTCTAATATTTGCTTCTTTATACCCTCTTCTTCATCCATTCATTGTTCTCTTTCTGGTAAGCCAATGACTTCAATTGTTCTTATGTTCTCTTAGCATTTTTTTGAAGTTTTTCTCTGTTTCATTCATCATTCATTGTCCATAATCCTTCTAACCATTGGTTCTTATTGATTCAAAAAATAATACCCATCTAAATCATGAGTCTGTTTTTGAAGTTTTGCTTTTTGAATTCTCAAAATTCATTCAGCAGTGAACAAATGATCGGAATTGATAACCATACCCCTGTTCTTGACAATATGTTTACCCCCATTTTTTTCTCTTTTTATTATGAGGCTTCAAAAATCTACATTGCTATTAAAAGTTTTGATTTTGATTATATATTCAGTTTAATCCAGAGAGTTTGTCAAATGGGTGATTGAATGATTCCAAAAGTTGATGCACTTTGTAAAGGGGTTTTCTCTGTCTCATGAACTCTGATCAAAGGATTATAATAACGGATTTTTGGTTTTGTGCCACTTCCTATATGCTTTTCTTTCTTGGGGGTCCCTTTATTTTAGGTTACGAAGTATAATAATTGAATGAAGCTTTTGAACTTTCTTATGTTTCTTAAAGTTCTGTGCCTCAAAGGGATACTGTTGCACTTTTTTTTTTTTTAATTCAATCTATTTCACTGGTCGTGGATTGTCCACTCAGAATCTAAACAAAGCATTATCCTAAATAGATTGGATTACCACCTTGATTGTCTGCCTTTATACTGTGTTTTCTACTTTTGGTGCTAATCCGAGTCAATAAAACCATTTTATTTTATTTTTATTGCTAAAGCCATGATGATTGTAGGTTGTGAATCACAATCAATTCCCATATAAATTTTGATAAGTTCATGTTATCATGCAACAAAGTGTTCACTTCCTTTTGTTGTCTGTTTAAGGTTTTCTTCTTGAAATGGAGTACGATGACAGCTTCAGACAGGCCCAGAGACCAAAATATGATTGCCTTCTTTTTGGTAAGCCTTTTAGTTAGCTAATCATTCGTTCATTAATTGCAAAATCTGGAATTTTCATCTGGTTGTGGTTGTAACTTTGATATTGTTCTGCAGATTTAGATGATACTTTGTATCCACTAAGCTCTGGTATAGCAAAAGCATGCGGCCAAAATATTAAAGGTAAGAGTCTCTTTGCCAATAGTGTTATCGGTTGCTCTTCATTGCTGCATTTTTTTTGGGTGCTGACATGAGTAGTACTGTTGATCTAGACTATATGGTCGAGAAGCTTGGCATAAATAGAAGCGAAATTAATGAATTGTCCAACCTTCTCTACAAGAACTATGGAACAACTATGGCTGGTCTAAGGGTATGATTTGATCATTTCCTTATTCAAAATGGGAATTCATTGTTCAATTCAGAACTCACTCATAACCTATGATTCTTTTGTTTCGTTGTCATTTCAGGCAATTGGATATGACTTTGATTATGATAAATATCATAGGTACATTTTTTAAAAACTTTATAACCCCCCCTAAATTGCTAATGTGTTATTTTTATTATGTGTGTTTTGAAGTGTTGACATTGATTTTTGAATTTTTGCCGTTTCAGTTATGTTCATGGGAGATTACCTTATGAGAACTTGAAACCAGACCCAGTTTTGAGGAACCTCTTGCTGAGCCTACCCTACAGGAAACTTGTAAGTTATTTTATAACCAAATGGAAGCAAGTAGTAGAATCAAGACAGAACATAATTGAATATAATCTGATGAGTCTTCTATTCTTTTCTCTATAGATCTTCACAAACTCAGACAAAGTACATGCAGCTAAGGCACTTAGCAGGCTTGGATTAGAAGACTGCTTTGAAGGAATTATATGCTTTGAGACCCTTAATCCAATCCACAAGAACACTGTCTCTGATGACGAAGATGACATTGAGTTTGTCGGTTCAAGCACAACCAATCCAACCACAGAAAACAGTACTAGTAGCTTCCAAATATTTGACATCATTGAACATTTTGCTCAACCCAATCCAAGTGCAGTTTTACCAAAGACACCAATTATTTGCAAACCATCAGAAAATGCCATTGAGTTAGCTCTCAAAATAGCCAACCTTAATCCACAAAGAACTGTAAGAAAACCACACCCCCTATTGAACTTACAATCTAATTTTGTTGCATCTTAATTTCTTTCTTATATTTACTTTGTTTCATGTATGTCACTTTCAGTTGTTCTTTGATGATAGTGTCCGCAACATACAAGCTGGAAAACGTGTGGGTCTTAACACTGTGCTGGTAAGTCAAGTGTAATTTTGTTTTGTAGTATGGAACATATTGCCAAATTATGTGCCAAACTAATATGAGCCTCAAATAATTTGATTAATACATACATACACACAGGTTGGCACATCTCAGAGAATAAAAGGTGCAGATTATGCGTTAGAAAGCATCCACAACCTTAAGGAGGCACTGCCTGAACTGTGGGAAGCTGACATAAAATCAGAAGTTGCTTATCCTGCCAAACTTGCTGTGGAGACATCTGTGACTGCTTAGGACTATGTTCAAGGAATCCCCTTAATCATTGATGAGTAAAAAAATTCAAAAATTCAAAAAATAAAAATAAAAAATAAAAAAGAGAAGCCCATTGGGAATTCCCCAAGTTAGGATGCAGAAAGCTGACGTAGATGCGTTGATCATATTTATAATAAAATTAATATAGAATGTTAGATTCTCCTTTTATGTCTTGTGTACTTATCTTATAAGTATCGTAAAAAAAATAAATTTATTTCTTACACATATATAGAAATATCTGTGACTCTTAATTTTATTTTATTTTTCTTTTCCTCACATAGACGCATATGAGTTTCATATATTTTTATGAATATATAATTTATCTTCTACAATGAGATATAATTAATCATTACGTTCTTTTAATGAATGGTGTTGAGTTCAAACAGGAAAAATAATTTTTTTTTAAAATAAGACAGGTCAATACTTTTTAGATATTCTTATATGCTAATATCATTTTTTATAAAATCAAAATTAACTTTTATTCTCCAATAATCTTTGAATAAGTATATAATTATATAGTTGAATGTTATTTTCAGTAAAAAAATACTATGCAACATTTTTAAGTAGCAATTATCCTCCAAACTTTAATATTCTTATTTAAATAAATTAATATTAAAATTATATTAATTGAAGAAAGTTATACTTACAATCTATTTTCATTTACAATTTCTTACAACCATATCTTAACCGTTGATTTCCGTCAATCAACGGTTAAGATTTTCACAAAATAAATTTATTAATTAATTATTAATCACAATAAATGACAACCATTGATTGGCGAAAATCAACGGTTAAAATATAATTGTAAGAGTTTGTAAGTTGTAAATATAACCCCTCCCTAATTAATATATTTAAACTTTAAATCACTTTGTACACAGCTCAACTGATTGACATCTCTAATGACTAATATGGTAACGTAAGCCTACTTGCACAGGGGATAACGGATTTATAAGAATACTCTCAGTAATATGACACTAAATAACTGGACATAATTCTATTATAAATTTTGAAAAAATGTTTATCTTTTTAAATGACACAACTTATATCCTTTCACTCTCACAAAGAGGTGGGACCCACACCTTTATATTTTTTTGTCCACTCTCTTTCCTCTTTTATCTATCTATTTCCCTCACTTAAAATGACACAACTTTACATCGTTTAAAATGATACACACTTTTCCCTTTCTTAAATATATCAACAATCATATCAAAGTAAAATAATTTTACATTTTTTAAGAAATCGTACACTCTTTTATCTGTTTACAACTTTTATTAGTTACTTTAAACGTTAATTTCGTGAATATTTTTCTTAGATTCATTTTATATTTTCAAAATTTATTTTTCTTTAATTATTAGATGTAAGTGTTTTTATGATTGATATAATTAAAATCTAATGTGTTCGTATCTAAACAAAAAATCTCATCTATTAATAACACACTTCTAAAATATATAAAATAAAAAAAAATTATGATAATTTATGTTATTATATAAAGAACAGAAAACTCTAAGGGGGCGTTTGGTACGCGGGATTTTGAGGGATTCCTGGGAAATTGAATTTTTTTAAATTTTAAATTTTTTGAATGCAAAAATTATATTTTTGAAAATCGAGATTCCCAGACAAATAAAAATTTATCTTGTACCAAACGCCCCCTAAGTTATATTTTGTTGAAAATACAATAGAATTTACATTTAAAAAATGAGCTAAATGAAATATTTACGTTATAAAATCTTCACTAAAAAAAATCAGTAAGTGATTTAATAATTAATTTAATATAAACTTTTCGGAGCATAAATTTTATTTCATATTAAGGCTTAAATTTTTTTTACTAAATTAATTATTCAATGATGATAATATATAAAATAATTAAAATACTTAATTATTCAAAGATGATTTTCAGAATTTAATTTATTTATAACCTTATGAGAAATAATATTATCATATAAGAATATTTTAAAATATATTTTCATGTCGTATTCTAAAGAGTAAAAAATTTAATTACAACTAATGTAAAAAATGAATAGACAATAATGTAGAAAGTATTAAGGGTAATTAAGAAAATTAAAATTAAATACAATTATGAAGGTGTGTACGTAAATAAAAATTAATGTCAATAGCCCCACCCATGCATTGAACTGATCACGATAAATAAAAATTAATGTCAATAGCCCCACCCATGCATTGAACTGATCACGATATATATATATATATATATATATATATATATATATATATATATATATATATATATATATATTGTTAATTAGGATCATTTTACCCCAGTATAAGTTACATTCGCTTAGAGCCTGTTTGGATCCTCTTATTTTTAAGTTAGAAGCTACTTATAAGCTAAAGCTAAAAATAAGAGTTTAAAAAAAGAAGCTAAGTGCCTGTTTGGATCCTCTTTTTTTTAAGCTAGAAGCTACTTATAAGCATAAGCTAGGCCAAACAGGTTTTGGAAAAAGCTCTTATAATGAAAAGCTCTTTTTTCTATAATGAAGAAAAAAGCTGAAAATTAAAAGCTCCTAGGAGGAGCTTTTTTTTAAGCTCTTGTCTGTGTTTTTCTTGAATTGTGTGTTTTTTTTTAAATGAAGAGTGATAAAGATAGAGAGAGAGATAATTTTCTTGAAATATGTGCTTTTAAGTAAATTTTAAGCTAAAATTTTCATGTAATTTCCAAACAGCTTTTAGCTTCTTTTTTTAAGCTCTTTTTTTTAGCTTTAGCTTATAAGTAGCTTCTAGCTTAAAAATAAGAGGATCCAAACAGGCTCTAAAAGCTGTTTGGTAATTACATAAAAAATTTAGCTTAAAAATTACTTAAAAGCACATGTTTCAAGAAAATTATTTCTCTCTCTATTTTTATAACTCTTCATTTAAAAGAAAATCACACAATTCAAGAAAAACAGATAAGAGCTAAAAAAAAGGCTCCTCCTAGAAGCTTTTAGTTTTCAGCTTTTTTCTTCTTTATAAAAAAAGAGCTTTTCATAATAAGAGTTTTTTCCAAAACCTGTTTGACCTAGCTTATACTTATAAGTAGCTTCTAGCTTAAAAAAAAGAGGATCCAAACATGCACTTAATCTTGTCCGCTGATCCCACTTATATCTAATGGTTTAAATTTTTTAGTAATGTGAGCCGTTGGATACAAGTAGATCAATGTAACTCTTACATCGGTGTAAAAATATCATGCCCTATATATATATATATATATATATATATATATATATATTGTTTTGGAAATCGATCCTAATTACTTATTTGAGACGAGGAGGCGAGTCAATGATTAAGATTTTAAACTCCTACTTAAGATGACATTGGTCGGATCGAATTGAAGTCCTTCTATCACTTACTTAACTCTAATACGCATAATATTTATCATTTATGTACATGACATTTATTTTTAATTGATATGTTATAACTCTAACAAATGATATTATAACACAACAAAGGACAAGAACCAAATTAAAAATAATTATGCATATAAGAATTAAAGTATAAAAAATTATAAACAAACTAAATTGAAAATCGACATCATGTGTAAGCTATGATGCACTGACACTGACATGAGACACGACACGCCGACACGTTAATTCTAAAAAATGTCATATTTTGATACGTTGTGACACATTTTGATATTAAATAATATTTTTAATATATATAATATAATTTATATTTAATACATATAACAACCCATAATAAGTCATATAAACAATTAAATATTCAAATTTCATAATATAAATATAAACAAAAATAATTTTTCTTACTTTGTTAATTTTTCATGTCAAATTTCATAACAGAAAAAATTGATTTATAAATTATTTTTTTATGTTTAGTTAATAAAATAAAATAGGATATCAATAAATAAATAAATAAAATTTAGACCTAAAAAAAAGTGTCGAAACATTGATCGCATGTTGAAAAAAGTTGATTGCGTGTCGAAAAAGCGTGTTGGAAAAAACGTACCGGAACGTTGACTGCGTGTCCCAAAATGTTGACCACGTGTCAGACGTGTGTCAGAACGTGTCGGAGCGTGTCAGACACGTGTCGGAGCGTGTTCAGACACGTGTCGCACAAATTTAAAAAAAAACGTGTCCGTGTTTGTTAGTGTGTAAGTATAGAAATATATTTCATTAGGAAATTCATATATGATTGAGGGTGAAATTGAAATGTGAAAGATTAATTGCAAATAGCATTATTTAACGTGAAAGATTAATTGCAAATAGCATTATTTAACTTTTGTCGTGATGTATAATTCCAGAAAAGCTTTCCCTGGATGTAAATACGTTCAACTCCTTTCAATTATGTCATTGTAAGATTTTGACGTTCACTCTAATTCAAGAATTAATTAACTGCAAATCATTCAACATGAATTGTCTCATATCATTATTTTTATCAATTCATAGCAATCATAATTAGAAAATGATGAAGTGGTCAATGTATTGGAATTCTTGGCACGCTATTTATATTAAACAAACTCCTAAGTTGGATAACGTGTTTTAAATGCACATCACATTTCAATCCATAAAGAGGTTTGGTTTATACGCAAGTTGCTTAAATAAACTAATGTTATACTCTTAAATCAAAGCTCCGTCAATCATTATAATTTATAATTAGTTTAGCAAAGCTGTCTGTCACAAGCCTGTTCTCACAATTAAAAGTATATTAATATTTAATAAATTATGGAAAAAAAATACATGCGTTACTATTTATATTAGGGTTCGCTTTTTTCTGTCTGCAGATAAGTTATCTGCAGTAAGCTCAATACGACGTCGTTTTGGGGAGGAAATCATGGTATTTTTGTAATTTTAATTTATTTCAGGGTTATTGTAGTATTTATAATTATAATTTTCTAATCTTTCAATCCCAAAACAATGTTGTTTTGGAAGTAAATGCAGATAACTTATCTGCATTAACTGCAAAAATATTTTTCTATTTATATTAATCTTAAACAAAGAAAAAAAAAGCAATAGTAAACTAATTATTTATAATTAGTTTAGCAAAGCTGTCTGTCACAAACCTGTTCTCACAATTAAAACTATACTAATTGTAATCAATTATGAAAAAAATACATGCATTACTATTTATATTAATCTTAAACAGAGAAAAAAAAAGCAATAGTAAAATTCCTTTTTTTAAATCAAAATACCTTTTATATATATATATATATATATATATATATATATATATATAGATACATATTTATAAGTCCTATTATATATTTTCTAAGTCCTCAAAGTTTTTAT